AATCAGTTCAGTAAGAGGTCAATATTTATATTTAGCAATACAATTTTATAATTTAAATAAAAATTTTCTCATTTTATTTTAATTATTTTTTTAAAAACATATCTACTTTTTATTGAAACAATTTTTCATCCATGTTCTAAATCGCCACCAAATTTTTTACTTTTAAATAAAATATAGAAAAATAATTTTTTCATAATTTTTTCATTTTGCCAAAAAAATATGTGTAAATATATTCTTAATAAATTTCTGAAAAATATAATTCGTAACGTTAAATTGTGTCTTCTATAATTCCTTCGACAAAGTTCTAGAATAATTTTCTATGAAATCAAGATATAGTCACGTTAAGATAGTCGTTATGTGACGGGGTCATAAACATGACAACGTTCGAGCAAGGAATAAAGAGCTGAAACAAACGCTTATATTCTCGCCAGCTAAGGGCATTCGCTCCGTTTTATTTACATGACCTAATATTTACGAGGAGATACAATTCATATTACGCGTTCCATTTCGAAGTTCATGTGGATAATAATTTTATTAATAACTTAACACAAGCACATTCGCACGAAGAGCAGTACCGAATGAACTGGATACAATAATCTGAGACACGTCGGCAATACGCGACTCGCATAATAATTCGCCGAAGTGACGCAGTAAAGTCTTAATAATAATTAGTCGCCACTTCGCCGTTGTAATTGTTTAGTATGCAAGCACGTAACAACTCTCGTGATTCGGAAGCGGAAGCGGAAGCCACACAGAATCAGAAGAATGTAAAAAAATCAGTAGGCGAACCAGTAAATAGAAATAATTCATGATGCAAAATTTCTAATTTTTAAATTCTTAAAACTTAATTTACAACCCTCGAAAATTTTTCTTGTTATTTCATGTGTATCTTTTTTCTTTTCTCACATTTCATTGTATTTTAGTTCATTTCAACGTGATTAATTAGTTTGATTGTTATATGAAAATCAAAATTTGTTATGAATGATATTTGTATATCCGTCTATTGCTATTACATCAATAAATGATTATTGATTATGACGAATCATTTTTGATGCTGAAGTTAATGTAATTATTATGCTTTTATGCACAGCTTTCCGCTTAGTTTCAATTATGTTTGATATATTGGGATGCATGGTGGAAATGACTAATATATTGAAATTGTTCTACAAGCTGCATACTGTTTCATCACTTCATAAATCATATGTTACAAACAGTGCATCTGCTCATTTAACGTCAATTGTCATACAAGCTATGCATTGTTGAGACATCGTTTTTCTTCTTGTAATTCGTTGATTTGTTTCATAATTATTTCGGATGAGTCACACCGTTATATCCCAAATATATTTCGAAAACTACTGCAATCCTGAAAATCTACAACCGAAATCCCGAGATTAATCATTCTTGTGCACGAGAATCCCAAGCGTTCTTTTACGTTCCGCCCCGTTTGGTTGGTAGTAAAATATCGCAGCCTGTCTGGCATCTATTCAGCGCTTTCTTACCATGTTCCCGAGTACGGCGTGGGCGAATTTGGAAGCCACGGAACAAGCATCGAGAATGGCGAAGTAGGATGCAAACGTGAAATATAGGTAGGCCACGGGCGCAAAGCTTGGAATTTTGTGCACGAATCGAACGTTCACGTTGATGCCCCTTTCCTTTTCGCCTTTATCTTCCACAAGATAGAGGAAATCAAATATTATTGTGCGAGAATCCCGATGTAGAGGAACACTCCACTAGTAACAAGAGATACGGACAATCACGAGTATATCGACAATTTTCTTTTTATAGAGAGAAACCCATGACGGATTCTCATGTTAGTTGGAAAATAGAGAGAGTTCTAAGATTTCTTTTTTAAACATAACTACAATAATCTTTTTATATCACGACGTAACTGCAATAATATTTGCTGGGAACTAAATCAAAAAAATAAAATTCCGATTTCTCACAAACTACGGTATGAAATATTCTTCTCTGTTGAAGAACGATCGTGATGGTAAATCCGAAAAAAGATAAAAAAATTAAAGATACACATCACGCTAGGAACTACTGCAAACACAATGTGTTTCACATAACTTCAAACCGAAATAATATATGATTCGTTACAAAATAAACGTGGCACAATACGTCCAGGGTGCTATTATCGGTTTTTACATTGCACGACGAGAGAGTCGTTAGAACTATAATTTCAATACGCAAAACCTTTCGTCAACTCTGTGTTTTGTTTTTAAAAAGTGCATTTACACAGAACATCAGTTTATCTGAAAGATGATTATATCGGTAAGATGTAATAATAAATTTTAATCTAATCATATCCATTTAAATCAATCTAAAAATTGCAGTTGTATTTATAATGATTTTTAAATTTTAGAAAAAAAGAAATTTGTAAAATTTTAATTATAATACTAAATTAATTTTCTAAAAATAAAATAAAATTCATATTTAATTTATATATAATATAATA